GCTTATATACCACCACATAGCACGTAAAGCACTCTCTGGGCGGTTTACAAGTTAATTATGCAGGGTACACATTAAAAATTATAATTTGATATCAATTAATCAGATATTTAGCCAGTAATTACAAATGCAGTGAGGAGCAGAAGGCTGAAGGCAGTTGTTTAATTCAACTGTGTAGAGCACGAAGAAGGGAGAACATGTTAGCTCTGTCCCCAAGCAAGAGATGTGAAAAGAAGAAATGGTTCCATCCACGGTGGTTCTAAATATGAACAAGACCTGAGTTTTTCTACATTCTGTCTCAAATGGAGAACACTGATAGCACATGCTCTACATTTCAGTCTTCTTAACTAGCAAAGCAACAATCCTTAAATATAGAGTAAAAGTGTTCACTAACACCTGAATAGGACTAGACGGTGTATGCTTGCATGTGAAAGTGGAATTGCACAGAATGGGATCCTGTTTTCCTAGAAATAATTTGTCCCATTGATACCAGTAGTGCTTGCTAAGCCTCATCTGTCTTTGTCTGGTCTAACCCAATATAAATTAGGGAATATCGGAAGCATACATGGGCAGGGCAGGGCTTCATCTCCCTATATTTTGTGTGAATTCACATATTAATGGGTCATGTTCAAAGGTTCCTTTTGCCCAGTTATAGGGATCATCTTCCACCAACAGGAGCCTCCATGCAAATGAAGTAGTCCTTCTGTCAAAAGAGGCTTCTGGTATTTCAAGGAAAGGAACCTTTCAGTACAACACTATGGATGCAATTTTTAATAATGACTAACCTGTGTCAAATTATGCCCATAAACCCCATAGCCAGAGTTCCATCAAACCTCTTCAAGCTCTCATTTGACTGCAAGCTGTGAAGTGTTGTGTCCTATACATACATGAACCAGCCATTCTTTAACATGGTTTCATCAGAAAGTGAAAGGAATTATGATAAAGGCTCATTGTGCATTATCTCATTTCTCCATATCACCTAAACCACAGAGAAGAATGCTCTCCCATGTCTGCAGGCTGTAACCACCTGGCTTGTCATGGCACACTGTGGGAAGGAAGGAATTATGCCAAGACTTGTGCACAAGATCCATGGATGCCTCAGCTTAGTTAGTTTGTCACATCATTTATAGAAGTGCCCAATAACATATTTTTCCACGTGACTCACAAACCTAACATGCTAAAATACAATATTAAAATGTAATATAAAACAATATATTGCAGCACGAAACATTTTGACTGAAATCCTGTTGTTCGGCACAGTAAAATGCAACTAGAAGTATGTCCATGGAATCAATGGAACTTACAGAGGTGCTGACTCACTGAATCTCCACTGACTCAGTGAGTCTACTCTAGTTGTAACTTGCTACACTAAGCAACAAAAGTTTGTCCATTGATACTGTAGAGGGAGAGAAAGCCAATTTCACACTGTGGTTGAAAATACACAAAATATTAACCACAGATTACAATTCAAAAGTTTAAAGTCACAGGTTTGAAAACATCTGAAAAAATCTTCACCTGGATCCAACAATACCATAATGAGGCATGAAGCCTGCCTGTCTAGGGTGCCATTGCCAAGAAGGCCATCTTCCTGGAAGAGACCCTTCTGGCTTCATTTGTTGGGGGTATATGAAATGGTAATTTCTAGATTTCCATCTACTTACACACCTTCCTGTCCTAAGCTAGCAGTGGATGGCCTTTGCACCTGAAACAGCTTATTTTTATGTGGCTCAGTTCAACCCTCTGGAAATGATCAGAGGGGAATTTGTCCCTCCACACAGCAGTCTATTAGACTGTAAAGAGAAAGAGAAAGGAGGGGGGAGAGGAAGGTGAGGAGGGGTGATTTCTGTAGGGAATCCAGCTCTATCCTCTGCTGGTTTTAGCCCTCACCCATAGCAACTTGCAGCCCATGAGCAGATTATTCTTCAGGGAACCTGGCTCTCAATAGCAATGTTTCCTATTCTATCATAAACATTTGCAAGGCAATTTGTAAGCAGAGCTTTGCGCCTGTGTGTAAGATCTAGTTTGGATACGAGATTATTTTGTCTCAGTTCATTTTTATCTGAATTTTCCAAATTTCGGAAATGTCTTAATGTATGGCATGTGAACAACCTGGAAGTTTAGAAAGGCAAAATAATGTGTGGGAGAAACCAAAACTGACATGGATTTATCCAGATTTAGGGCTTTGATTGTAGCTCTTGAAAGTCTGGCTTCGAATCCTCGGGTTTTCTGACATGTGAGCACTGAATTAGATTTGCCACTTCTTCCGTCTGTGACAGTCCATCTTCCATGCTGGGTACAGGTGTTCCTGTTGAATTTGGCCAGCACAGATGAGTGACAATTATGTTTCCATTAAGTTTTGAAGAATCACACACACACAAAAGAAATTACTCAAATTTTAAACATTTTTTATTTCAGGAAAAAACAAAACTGAGTGGCTTTTCAGTGCTACTACTCATACTACAAAACTGAACAAAATGAAACCAATTGTATCTATCAATAAGCAGGTGGCTAGACATTTGCTTTACCTCTTTGCTTTCCTATGATGACCTGACATTGGGTAAAACTGGAAGGTTCTCACTGACCTGTGAATGACCTGTGAATACCTACACTGCTAGAAATCTCTGTAACACAGTTATTCCCCTTTTAACTTGACATTACCTTGGAAGCTATTTGCTGATGACGGTCAATATTTTTGTACTTCCAAAATAAATCACGGTGACCTGTGTTATAAGGTTGTGTCACATATGCAGCAGTGTTACTGAGAGTGGAAAATAACTAAAAAAAAACCCAGATAGTTAATTTATATATGGAGGTTTTTAGTCGAAGAATCTGTGCAGTTTTTTTCTTCATAATGATTTCTGCAGCTGGAGGTTTATAATTTACTTACTTTGTATTTATTTATTGTATTTATACCCCACCTATCTAGTCATTTCGACCACTCTAGGCGGCTAATACTTAATACTTAATAATACTTAAAAAAACATTTTATGTCTTTCTGTTTTTCCTTTAGGGTGCTAATTCAGGGGTGGGGACCATGTGGCTGTCCAGATATGAATGGACTGCATCTCTTGTTAACTTTAGCTAGTATGGACAACGAGGGATGGTAGTCTTAAAACATCTATAGTCTTAAAACAGCTGGAGAGCTGCATGACTAAAACATCACAAGGGCCAATACTGTACTGCATAAGCAAAATAGTATTGAACAAGGGCTAGATCCAATGTCAGCCCTACTTAAAACAATCCTATAGAAATGAATTGAATCTGAGTTAAGTATGACTACAACAGTGGGTCTTGCTCAAAAGAGGTCTAATGCTGGATTTAGCCCTATGAGACATTAAAAAGTGCCTTTTGCATGGTGTGTGCTATTTCTCCACTGGGCTCCAGAATGAAGACCTGTGAATTCATCTTTAGGACCTATCATGGGAGAGGGCAGGAGGCCTGTTTGGCCCAGGCCTCACATTCACAGAGGGCCTCAAGTTTAGACTATTGATATCACCATCAAATGAGGCTATGCATTTTATCAGAGGATTGAAAGAAGATGACATTGTGTTGTCTCTCTCTCTCTCTCTCTCTCTCTCTCTCTCTCTCTCTCTCTCTCTCTCTCTCTCTCTCTCTCTCTCTCTCTCTCTCTCTCTCTCTCTCTCACACACACACACACACACAGAGAGAGAGAGAGAGAGAGAGAAGTATTAAAAGAACACAATTTTTAAAATACCCCACTACAGTATTTGTAACCCTATATTTATATATTTATATATACCAGGGGGCTTAAAGAATAAAAGCTTTAGGGAGACCCTATTCATTGCAATGAATAACCATTGTCTTGTGGTATCTCTTATCATTGTGTCTGTAATGTGATATCACTGTGTCTGTAATGTATATTAAACTGGATCGCCACTATAAACATAATATTTCCTTTTAAAAAAGCTTAGGACAGTACCTTTCCCAGATATTTTTTTTTAAATCATTTAAAAAAAATTAGACATATAGACTAGGCCAATTATTAATGCCACACTTCTATCATTTTTTTCATGATGACAGACAAAAAAAGGGGGGATGAACAGAGCAGTCCTAATCCTGAGATCTCTGACTAGGGAGCAGAGCTGCCTTCCCACAGTTAAAGAGAAGTGGCTTTGAACATTTCAGAAGTATGGCTCAACTTGTCAACTAGTCTATGCAGAGAAGGATAGGAGCACACATTTGGTCCCAGGGGGCCTTGAACGTCAATACCCCTAAGACTAGTGGATACCCTAAATAGCCTAATATAGGAATAAAACAGGCCACAACTCTGTCCTACCCCTTGATTTTGCAGAACGGGATCTCTCAACTGCTCTAGCCTGGATCTGCAGCAGTGAAATTCAACCCCATTCCTTTCAATGTGAAGATTTTTTTTAGAATAACTGTATTTGCCAGACTAAGACCCACTGCCTACTGATTTCTTGCCCCCCTCCCAACACCTCCTGTCTTCACCAACACTGTGAGCAATGGACAAGCCGCTGCTTCGGCCACCTCCACACTCAGATCTCTTTGGAATTTTTCTGCAAAGCAATTAATTACTCCTCTTTGTTTCATTATGCCCCCCACACACACTTCTGAGAAAATGTGCACACGATTGCATGACACATGTAGAAAAACTCATTCAGTGGTGCTGCACATTGCTTTGTCAAACATGACTGCCACTTCCATGTGTTTAACATTAGGCAAACATTTGCATCATGTCATCAGGTCAAACTGACCAGGGCAAAGTCTTCCTCATCTAAAGTAATGAGCAAGATGACACGAACTCAAAAAAATCCCACACAGGTCTTGTGGGGAGAAGGGGGGAACTTTCTTACTTCTCACAATGAAAGATAAGAACAGAGCCCCTCCCCGCAACAATGTTTTGTGAAATATACTTTAAAAAAATCTGAATCAGCAAAATCTTGGCCAACACAGATCACATGGTGCACCAAATCTCCCTATAAAATGCCCTGCATCAATGAGGCTTGTCATTCACCTTCACCATGAGGGGAATCGTACTAGCCCTCCTGCTCACCCTTGCGGGTAAGTCTGAATTTGCTCTTACTAGGAGCCCTTCGTAGAATGTTGCTTAGTTTAGTCAAATACGTCATATTTGAATTAAAAGTTTATTCTAGTGCTTTACTCATGTAATGTGTGTGATTTCTCTTCCGCAGGGAGCCAGAAGTTTCCAAACAGTAAGTCTACCACTGATTTTATTTTGCTTTTTAAAACAATACAATGCCACATTTATTAAAACGACTATGTGGCACGAACTATTGGAGGGAGGAGAAAAATTAATGTCACTAGTGGAGCATGCCAGTAACCTGATAAACCTTCTAATCTCGACATTAAGAGCAAGTTATAAATTTTGCTATGAACATCCTTAGGCACATCGCTTTCTTTTGTAATAATACTGATCTACCTTAAAGGTTGTTGTAGCTGTCTCAACAAAAGTTAGGAAATCTTTGGTCCCAAAGCTAATCTGGGCAGCTATTTCCAAAATGTCTTTAAAATGGTCATGGTGGCTAAGGTTTTTGAGAACTGGAGCCTGAAGCTTTCTGAGAGCTGAGAGTGCCTTGTCCCTGCTCTGAAGGATCGCCTAAATATTAAACACTTATCAGAGCTAGAAATGTAGTATGGTTTTGTGGTGGTGGTGGTGGTGGTTATGGATTTTTTAAAAAACTCAAATTATGAGAATTGTAGTCTAAAAAAGCTAATGTTCCCAAATTCTGGCATTCATTATTTGATTAATTATATTTAAATACATTTGCATCTCACCCATAGTTCAATAGCGATACCATTTAAAGATCCAGAAATCTTGCTGGATAGCTGAGTGAATTAAGTATCTAGATGCTCAGCCAAAGGTTGTGAATTTGATTCCCACTGTGCATCCCATAACAGCCATCCTATGTTGCCTTGGGCAAGCTGCACAGTCCCAGGAGCAGGGTTGGGGCAGAAGAAGGGAATGCTAAACCACTTCTGAGCATTATCTGCTTAGAAACCCTGGAAAAGGTTGCCATAAATTACAATTAACCTGAGGGCACACAATTATTTTAAAGATCCGGAGAGAACTACCAGGTAAACTGTGATTTAATAATGAATTGCTCATTAAAGCAAAACTATTCCTGTCAATTGCCAGTTACATTGGCAGATGAATGCCAAGATTTTTTTTAAAAAAAATACCTAGGTAATTTAAAACTTCATTATTTTTGCAACAACTTGATTTTACCAGCCCTTTGTGTTTGTTTTGAAATAATAACTTTGAATAATCAGAAACAAAAAGAAGACACAAACGTGTTTCTAAATCAGAATCCTGATGATTAAAACTTTCCTTCAGTTACACCATCAATTTACTCACCTAGAAGTTTAAAACTAAGTAGCAATTATATTTTACTAAAGAAAATGGATATGTATAGACCTTATTTTGTTATTTGATGTGGAACTAGATTTTAGCAGTGGAAGCTTTGCTGGAACAAAAATGAAAACATTAGTCATAATACAGTTTAGAACAAATTATTTTATAGTTAAAAGGGGTATGCTCCACGGTTAAACTCATATATTAACTTATCCAATTTATTTTATCCCAGGAGACCAGAAGACCCAGAACAGTAAGTATAGATATCATAATAAAGCTAGACAAATATTGAACTGATTTTTTTTTCTGGAGGGAAAAGTTTGCATCGAATGTGATTGAACTCTCTCATCAAAACTCAAGTTTGCAATTTGGGTCTACTCCTGGATTCATCCCTGAGCCTCATTACTGGGAATAAATCTAGACAAATATTGAACTGATTTTTTTTCCTGGAGGGAAAAGTTTGCATCGAATGAGATTGAACTCTCTCATCAAAACTCAAGTTTGCAATTTGGGTCTACTCCTGGATTCATCCCTGAGCCTCATTACTGGGCCATGGTGATGCATATCCTGATAGCCTTGCATCTCAGTAACTGTAATGTGCAGCCAGATTGTTGACCAGGATTGACTACAGGGAGAACATAACCTGATACTTATGCAAACTTCACTGCCTACTAATATGTTTCAAATGAGTCCTTCAAAGCAGTGATCCCCAACCTTGGGCCTCCAGATGTTCTTGGACTTCAACTCCCAGAAATCCTGGCCTGCAGATGTGTGGTGAAGGCTTCTGGGAGTTGTAGTCCAAGAACATCTGGCGGCCCAAGTTTGGGGACCACTGCTTCAAAGGACTCATTACAACTTATAAAGTCCCATACATGTCCCATATGAGCTGGTTAAGGTTTGAGAGCTTCAGAAGAGGCCTTTCTCTCTATTCCGCTGCCTTCAGAATTATGTTTAGCAAAGATATACAAAAGGGCTTTCTCCATGGCTCTTCCTAGACTGAAAATTCAATCTGATTGTGATTAGTTGTTCCAGTAGGCAAATATTCTTTTTTAAACTGAGATGTGCCTGTGGCTGCTAAAGAAGGAACTTTTAATATGTGGGTGCTGTATTTTTTAAAAAAGAAATGCACAATTTATGCAGTTGTGTTTTAATCTTGTAATTTAATTCAGAAAAGATAATAACTTTTGGTGTTGTTTTATGGTGCTGTTTTAAAATTCTGTTCTAAGTTGCCGTGATCCCCCGTTTTGAGAGAAAGATGGGATAGAAATCAAATAAACAAGGTTAAATGCATTTGTGTCTCACTCAAAGTTCAATACCTGAAAATAAGACAGGGTCTTGTATTAATTTTTGCTCCAAAAAAAAACCTTAGGGTTTATTTTCAGGGGATTTCTTTATGTACAACAATCTACATTTATTCAAATACAGTCCTGTCATCTTTTTCTGGTTGCTGCACAATGGTGGAGGGCAGGCTTTCAATTAAGTGGGGCTTATTTTTGGGGTGGGGCTTATATTAGAAGCATCCTGAAAAAATCATACTAGGGCTTAGTTTCAGGTTAGGTCTTATTTTCAGGGAAATGGCATACTGTTACACTCAATTTGTAACTGATCTAATTTCTTCTCCACAGAAGGCCTGCCACCAGGAATCGGTAAGTCTATCAACAATGTGAAAATGAACACAGTCAGCTCGCTTGTTGAAATCACACTTCTGGCAATCAGCCACCGGTGTGCATTTTTTTAATTAGCTGAGCTTATGTAGTGAGACTAAAAGTGGAGCTGTATATCTGAAAGATTCCAGACTGAATCTCATTATGGTCCCAGGCAACCCACTCTCCTCATAACTGCTCCTGTCAATACAGCAGTAATAATATTGATCCTACAGGATTCCTGAATGAAGAATATGTATGAAATGCTTTCAGTTCTATAATGTACTTTACAAGTACTACACCTATTATTCAGTTGTCAACAGAAATGAAGACAAAATGTGGTCACTGAGAAACAAGAGGAAGGCATCAGTGAGAATTAGGTTGAATTTGTTTAAAAAAAACTTAAGAGACAAAGTGCTTAGCCCAAGCCCAATGAGAATTAAGCAACATACTTGGAATGAGGAACATCCTTTGGGAAAGAAAACTGGACAAGGGAGCAGAAATTGAGTCTCCCAGAGTAGAGCATGGCTGACTGGTTGACTCAAACCCAGAACAGCAGCATTTCCTATTGGGAAGTGCAGATGGATTGCAATATCTTGCTGTAGGTGCCCGTGTTATGCTTCGGAATCAAAAGCTTCTAGCATATTGTTCTACTCAGATTGTAACCTATCCAATTTTATTCCCACCAGGAACCGAGACTCTTGTACCCAGTAAGTATCAGTGATCAAAAAAGAAATGAATCAATTTCAGCACATTTATTAAAACTGCATTTGTGACAATCAGCCATGTGAGGCTGGGCAGTAGTGGTGATTATTTGAGGTGCCAGAAGGTTGTGCTCATTAGACTGAGCTAGGAATCTGGAAATTCCCGACCTCAGTCTTCCTGTAGCCACATCTTTCTCTCTGCCTCTCTCTTGCTCTATCTGTGATGCAGGTAATAATAGTGAGCTGCTTTACAAGGTTGATCTAAAGAAGTATGGAACTATTTATGCTTTACAGAGAAAAACCAAGCACTTTCTCTTCAAAGAAAATGCTTTCTCAGCTTTTTCTTATTGCTGTGGTACACTAATGTTCAGAGAATGATGGTTATTTAAAGAGAAGGCCAGTAGTGAATTCCTCCATTAAAGTAGGGGTGGGCAATATGTGCCCAGGCCCTTTTTTGTGCTCCCCAGCACTCCTAGGGCTTCCAGTCCCCCCCCCTAAATTTAAAAAAAGTGTTCAAAAGTCCCTCTGAATCCTCCAGATGACATGGGAGACAGTTGTGCTACAATCTGAGGCACCTCTTGCACACTTAGTGCCCCACACCTCATCTACATTTGTAACAACAACAACAACAACAACAACAACAAATTAAATATGCAACCTAATTTACTAGGAACACACCTCTCCTTTAGACTCTATTCCTGTAAATTTGTGGCTCATAGGCAGCCAGCAAATTTGAAAAAATGGCCCTTGGCCCTTCTGAGATTGCTCACACCTATCTTAAAGCTTTAGTTTAATCAGTATATGGATTAATGAAAGCCTCCATTCTTAATGGGTGTGCATTTTTTAAAAGATAATGGGTGCAAATGGTTCTTTCTATGATTCTTTACAGGACCAGTTTTTGAAGATGGACGAGCCTACCTCTTCGACTATGAAGGTGCTATCCAGAGTACAGTGCATGGAGACGATCTAGGGGAATCGACGATGAAGATACATGCTAAAATAGCCATCTATGGACAGAGTCGGGAGCACGTCCTCCGAGTAAGCTTTGTTCAAAATCTCTAGGAAGGAAAACTAGAGATTTAGACATTAGATGCAAATGGACATCATCCAGCTATCCCTGTAGGCTTCACATAGCCACCTGTTCTCCATTGTTTCCGTTCATTGTACAGCATAGCTTTATGCGCTAAAGAAAATAAAAGAACGGGCAGTGGGGAGAGACCTAGTCTACTTTTTGCAGAGCATTGTTCATGTATTTAACATTTCATACAACAATCAATGTTTCTAATCATTCAGTATATCTTAATCAGTTTTATAGTTTAATAGCTTTTTAATGTATAACTTACTGTGTTTTTGTTTTTTGTAATATTGTGAGCCTCCTTGAATCCTCTTACTGGGGAAAAAGCAGCTTGTAGTA